AATACTGATATGAGTTGTCCAGATAATGACTTTTGCCATTTCTTAGCAATACTAGTGTCTTAGAGATCCTGGAGCTCTTCTCCATACATCATACTAGCACTAGCGGGGGTTTTACTGGTGGTTTTAAATCCTTATTAGTAGATCTGCAATAACAATTCCCATTCTGCTGAAATGGTTATTTTATATTTCAAGTTAAGATCATTAAAGCTCTTAGATTTTGCTTCCTTTCTCTTTCTGGAAATTCTCTCTTCTATATACCCACTCCTGATGAACATTCTTCTCTCTCTGATTTCTATGACGCAAAGTAAGGGACAGCTCTGATCTAGACAGCTAATCTAGAGTTATTTAGGTAAAACTTGGGCTAATAGCAGCTTCCAAATCTTAGCTTTAAAAAAGCCTTTTCATGATGCTTTCAGCTCCATCAGTGCTGTTTTACTACCTTTCAGGCAGTATTAGTTTAAGTAATCTACCTACTCCTGTACTGCAGAATAAATGCAAACAAGCAGATTTTAATTATCAAAAGTTTCCATGATGAATCTATGCAACTCATCAGAAAGAAAAAGTGAAGGACTTAGCATTTTGGAGTATTTTGCTGATGTCCTACACAAACCACTACTCCCGCACATCTTCATTGTGTTACCATTGCAAATGCAAGTTGACTGAAATCAGAAGAGACAAAATACATATTTATCAATAATAATAATAATACAGAGAAGATACAAACAAAAATGCATTTTAGTCAGGAAGATTTATTGATTTACTTCTTGATCAGTAATCTATGTCTGGAGACTATGCATTTCCAGGGTTTATTAACTCCAGAAGTCAGTATGTTCTTACCTGTTTCAACCTGTTGGTCCTAGAATTTGCAGATACATTATCAAGTGCAGGACAAAGCACAAAAATGAACAATTCCTGCCTGACTTCTGTCCCCATTAAAACACTTCATAAACCCAACGGAGATAAAGTAAAATCAAAAAATAGTTATTCTTTTTTGTGATATCATAGAAAAATGTAGGTTAGGAAGAGTGCTACAGAGGTCACGTGGCCCAGCAGGACTGACTTTGAAGTCAGATTGGGTTACTTGGGGCCTTGTCCTGGCAGGTTTTTAAAATTTCAAAGGATGGAAACTTCACAACAACTCTAGAGCATTTGTATTCAGTGCTTAACCACTCATGATTTCTAACACTCACATCCACACGGTGCATGTAACTCACATAACCTTTCATTCCCTTGACCACTCCTTTTTAACAGAGGAGTGGGAGGAAATGGCAAGTCATTTTGTTCACCCGTTATATCAGGAACTAGTCAGAAAACTGTTGCACAGACCTGCTCTTGAGCAGAAGTGGTAGCATTTCCTCTTAATCTGAGGGGCCAACAGATCTACCGGGCTGACTTTGGTCCCCCCGAGGTCCTTGTAAGGACAGCAGAACAAATCTTGCACTTGCAGCTGAGAACTGCAACTCTGCTCTGTTCATCCACAGAAGACTGCACACACGTATATGATCGACTAATAGATTAATCTTATTCTCTGTTCCTCAGTCTCCTAAGAAATTTCCCTGAGAGAGCAGAGATGATTTGATGATCTTGCCCATGATTACACAGTAAGTGGTACTCAAGTTGTCTGTTATCACCTTGACAGGGAACTCTTGACAAAGGTGAGATTTCACCTACTTGTCTTGGCTCCTCAAATTAGCCAGATACATCCAACAGTAATCCTGAAGGGGTGGATGTAGCCCATCAGAAGATTCAGCTTTTCCTCTCTGGAAAGGAGGAGAAAGCAGCAAGGAATCTGCTTGCAAAGGTTTTCTCAACAGAACATCCCCAAGGGGATCAGTGCCAAAGTTTTCACTGATAGAAAGTGGTAATTTTAGCACAGAAGTTATGGACTTCCAGTTTAAACACCGCTTTCCATCCTCTCACACAGAAAATCCTGTGATAGGAGCTCCTAAATCCCTCGTTTTAGGTTTAAGAATGAGTCAGTGAAGCATTTATTTGGAACCCATTTTTTAGTAAGGCAGTAAATCAACCTGCTGTTCAACTCCCATAAGTTACTGAAGCAGGAAACAGCTTGCTGCACAGCTAAGAATTCACAACAGAAAAACACGTCACATCGGTGGGTAAGGGGAAAGTAGCCGGGGTCAGATGAGATGCTCTTTGCACCCAGAATCCTAGCATGAGAGGCAGTGGCACAAAGGCCATTAGCAATAACAGCAGAAAATTTTCCTGATCTCAAGCGTAGACATGTGTATCAACAGTATGAGCATGCATACTGGCTATTCCCTGAAGGAAAAAAAATCCCTCCATTCATAATTTCTTTTTATGTTCATGCAACAATCCCTCAATAAAAAAGGCTTATTAAAAAAGCAAATGGTTGGAGAATCCCTAATTGATTTGAAACTGAAAGGCTGCTGTGCCATAGGCAACATTCTGTGCCAAAACTTTTGCAGCAGCGTAACAGAGAAATGTGACCAGAGCTTCAGGCAATAATTTTGCATGTTTCGGGAACAAAGAAGTTCTACAAGAGACATCCCTATCATCTTTTCACTAAAACACAACTGTAGCTTATGACCATTACTTTAATCAGTTATAACAGAAATATACGGCTGATCTTCTAGTAAGAATCCTTGGTTAAAAAGTTAAAAACATTTTGCCCTATAGATCTCTTGCAGACACAAGCTGTCCATAGGTTTCCTAAAGTGATCTCCTACTGCCAAGAACAAATGAAGGACTTTTGTCATCCAAAATAGGCAAGGCCGAAACTTATGCAGTGTGTTGGAAGGAAATAAAAAAAAAAAACACCCAAAGCCAAATTTAATACAAGTTAATATCCTGGTTGAAAAGAAAGCCTAAAGCCACCTGAAGAAGATTTTGGGAAAGGTCAGCTACAACAGTCTTCTGGCTGTGAACCTGAGGTTCAGTAAAGGGTCAGTATTGCCATTCTGACACCATTTTCTGTTACCAGTGCATTAAAGTAAACAACCTGTACTAGGTCTGAACACCGGAGTTTATTTACAAACCAACAAGATCAGAGCTTTTTATCCCAGCTGATTATTTCACACACCCATCCACTCGCTCCCCCAAAGCATTACGTTTGCCAGGGTCTCAACTCCCTTCCCAGCAGGCAGGCTTGCTGCTGGTGTGCAAAGGTCAGGCAGAAAACCATGTCCCTTCATGCTATACAGCTACCCACAGTCGCCAGTCCGAGGCAGCATCAGCCAAGGTCCCGGGGCATCCCCTGGTGTTTTTCTCCACGCATCTTCCTGACCTCCAGGATCTTTCTTTTCAGGCTTCCCTTCTTTCTAAGGCCACTTCCATAATCCTTCTTTTTGGTACCACACCTGCTTTCCAGAACACTCCAAGCCCCAATCAAAATAGTCTATGGGCAGAAGTACAAGACATGATCAGCCACTTAATCAATGGCTCGGTCATGCAGGTGTTATTAAATTTATAACCAGACTATACTGGCAGCAGCCAGTAAGTAGGCGGCTTGCTGTCCTTGAGAGCTCAGAAGCTGACACATTCTCACACACACATATATATACACCAACTTATCTGTTGCCTGTTAGCATTCACAATTTAAGCTTTTCTTTTTGCCCACAAATGATAAAGAGGTCACATTGCTTGACATTACTTGAAGGTATACTGTATTTCAACACTGCTCTTTGACAGACTGTTGCTATGCCCATTCTCAAGATGCTGTCCCACAGCTGTTCGCATGGAAACAAACACTGCTGGACGAGCAACACTGTACCAGCAGTCACATTTCTGCCTTCTCACCCTGCCTCAGTGCATGGGGGGATGGAGCTACAGGACAAGTCCAATGCAACACCAGCATTGACATCTCTTGGAAATAGCAACAGATAGCAACGGAGCTCTTTCTACGATGTACCCTGTGGGTCTTGTTCATCCATTCAATGTGCCATCTCTTCCTGCCACATCTAAAGTCCATGGCTAATTTTGCCTATCAACAGTGTACAAAACAGTCAGTAGGGCTGGGAAACAGATGAGGTGGGTATCCGAGATTATCATCAGAGAACAAGCGTTCAAAGGAACAAAGTGAGACTCTTAACGCGTTAAAGGAGACTACTAACAAGGATAAATAGTTGGGCAGAATCTGTGGGAAGAATAAAGCAACGTCATCATCTGGGCAGGAAAAGGGAAAAAAGGTGGAGCCCAGGAAAACTGAAGTTCCAAGACCAAATCTTTGTGTCTGTAGAGATTATATATCCCTCTGTCAGCCATGTCCCACTGGCTAACTGACCTTGACAGAAAAAAAAAATTGTTACTATCCCAGCTATTACTGAGTGCTTATTATTTTCCCTTCCCTTCCCACCACTTCTCTATTTTTCACCATTAAAAAAATATGGAGTCTAACGACCTCATTAAGACTGACCAAGTACTACAGACCTCTCTGATTCTGAACCCCTAGCCCTGCATTACTGTCTACTAAAAATACTTCAGTTCCCTTTCTTGGAGTTCATGGATTTACACAAGTTCCTTCCAAAGCCTCAGTTTCTGAAATTTTGAATTCGAGTCAGTTATTGACATTTCAGAGTCCTCTCAGAGGGTTAATAGAAATCAACAAAAAAGACAAGGTATGTCCAATTTTTGAGGAGGCTGAAAACTGGACAAAGATTTTGAAAGGAATTTAGAAACTACAGGGAGGGACTAAAAAATTATATGGAAAGTTAAGGTATGCCAAGGGATCAGTTAGTCAATCTCCTCTTTTAAGAATACTGTTGGGAACTACCTCCAGCTCCTCTGCTCTCTCATTATCAAGGGATCAAAACCACAACTACGAAACCAACAGCCATGTTCATTACTCCCTTTATAAACACAAACACGTTTGCAGAGGGCGTCCATCCACCTTCCAAGCTCATTCTGAAGGTGTTCAGCATGAACAATTTAAAGCAGATGTTCAAAGCATACGTCAAACAATGGGATAAGGTCAAGTATTACTTCATCCATTACATTTCCCATAAAAATGTACAGAAGAGTGACTGGTCTCCAAAGTTTATTAAAAATCAAAGAATAGAAAACTTTACATAAAAATATGTCAATTTTAGCTTCCACGTAGTTGTCCACACAAAAAATTTAAACATGATTTTTTTTTAAACCTGTAGCACATAACCACAGTGATAGCCAGGCCAATTTATTTGGTTCACCATGACTGAAGTGTTACATGATACCACTTTTCAAATGAGTTTTGCTTTAAAATGGACGCTAGTATAAGACACCAACTAAAGCCTTTGAAGGCTCTTTAACGTAGTTATGCTCAATATTGCTAGTGTGTGAAGACTAAGCAGTACAGGCTCATGTAACAGCCCTTAGATATTATTTATGAATCAGCTCACAATTTTTAAAACTTTTTTTTTTTAAATTGTGATGAGTCTGGAGCATTAAGACAAACTTTTTGCAAACAGATATGCACTACTCTACTTTGGAATGTTGCCCTCTCTCCCCCTCAAGGACCTGTTTGTGTTTGACAGATTCAGTAATAACGTGAACTACTTCTGCTTCAAAGGCATACAGCATATTAAAAAGCTTCATGCTTGACACCTCATTTTAATATTCAGATATCAGTTTTAAAACCTTCTGTATCTGTACACAGTATAGATGTCCTGTTAACAGGATTCTTCAGCTCTCTCTGCTAGTGGACTTGTATAACTGATCTGTAGTTTTCTGTATAGCTTAAGAACTCTCATTAAAAAAAACAGGAAGTCAGAGGGCGTGAGATGTGACCTACTCCCAGGACAACTGTGGTGCTTTAAAAAACTCAGGGTTAGGCAGGATGTACATTTTTCAAAAAGTTAAAGACAGTGTTTGTCATGGCAATACACACTTGCATAGTATACCTGTATGCATCTGTAAATTAAGTGCCAGCCACTCATACTGTGTACAACACTGGGCTGTGCTCTCCTGCAATACATTAAAAGATACTTCTCGTAATGCTTAGAGCAGCTGAAGTACTTTTTATATATTTGCTCTTAACAGAACTAATGCATACTGCTATACAGATTCCTTAATGGAATCAACATATTTCCTTTCTCCACATTCCTTAAGCCGGGTACCTCTGTTTAATAATGTTGTTTGAACCCAAACATCAACAGGTTACGTTACTAAAATGCATCAAAGCGTGTAGTTCACAGCTTTTTAATTTCACATCAGGACTCGAACCAACCTTTTCCCCCTCCCTCTCAAAAGTTTTACTTCTGGTACTACAAATGCTGGATTTGTTGTCTAGTTAAAGGAATAAAATTAAAACTCATTGGTCAGAGCAAGACGACTGATAGAGGCCAGACAATGAGCTAAAAAACACAGGGTCAAAATGCTTTGGAGCTTAATACCTTCTTAAAACCGTAAGCCAAATCGCACTTTCATTGTGAATCAAGAAGCCTCAAATATTACCAAATGTCATGTTTGTAACACTGCTCAGACAGCCTGCCAAAACTATGAACCCAACTTAGATAATGCAACCTGGGAAAGGATCTGTAAATTAAAAAACCTCTTCCCCTTAAATATAACTTATGTGACAATATGAAATTAAATTAAAAATTCCAAGTTATTGCACAAATTATACTCCAATATTTACAGAGCAAAAAATTCTGAACTTTGAAACGAAAACAGGAGAGCAGCAAATTTACTTGTATGAATTCCCAACTTGATTTGCTGCAAATAAAAAAAAAAATAATTCCAAGGGGCTGAAGTTTCCTTCACTTCTAAAATAAAAGAAAACAGAACCCACAAAGGAACAGATGTAGCCACAGCAAAAAAGCCACAGCATTTGTAAATGTCCTTGCAGTTCTATTGTCAGAGCTGCTTCGGCACTGTATGAACCATTGTGGGAAGGCAGAAAACAAACTTCCACATTTAATAAGGCTTCACAGATAAGCACAACTACTTCTTGAAGATGGACTGAACCACCACACAAAGAAACATGCAAAGAAGTCAGTCGCAGATATTTGGCAACACCAATAAAACGATGTGCTGGACGCTGGTCTCCATCCCTCAAGTCGAGTGGCACTCACTCAGTTTGTCTGAACAGGGAAGGTCATTTTGGCATCTGCCATTATCTGCTCAGACTAATAGGCAAACTGTCTCTGTGTTTTTTTCTTCTCCATATGTTACGATTGTACTGGTGGTGTCCTCGGTTACCAACTGGTTGCCTTATGCCTCCACTGCTGACAGGGCTGTAGCTGTTTCCTTGGTTATGAGTTCCTTTCATGGAAAACTTCATTCCACCGTGCTGCTAAAAAACACAAGATAAGCACTCAGTTTAGGCATACAAACAACCGAAACAAAGCACATATTACCAGTGGTATTTCCTCAACATACAAGTCATTCCCACAGAACACTACTTGAAACAACTTTCATGCTTCTCTAATTTTAGCTGTGCAAGTCCTATGGCACTAACAGCTTAAGAAGTGTTTTCTGAAGTAAATGTCCTGCAAATGAAATGGTGTAGATTTCAAAGCGTCCTTAAAACCCTTGAATGAGTAAGAAATACACTCACTATGCATCACCCTTATAAAAACAGAGACCTTCCACGTTAAATGCTAATTGTGACAGTCGTTTCTATTTTTGAGGATCTTAGCAAGAGCATGACCAGGTGAGATACCCAGTAAGACTTTCAGAAACATCATAGCTAAGTGTAAAGGCGTGATCATATGAGCTGATACATACTAAGCACGAGTCTGCTCTGCCCATAATCTCACTCAGCTACAGGTAAACTAGCTATGGCTTGTAAGGAGCTTGTAAATTCTACTGGTCTGATCATAGGGCTACACAGCTCCTAGACCATACCTCACATCCAGACCAAGGCAAAACAATTCAATGATCAGGAACATAGCATGACACTTTCTTTGGGGGGAATCTCCAATAACTTGGAACAGAAACTGCCAAAAAGGGTTAGTGGCAGCCTGAGTAAATCTACCACACCATAAGGTACTACAGGCGGCCCTATCACTTAATGGCACACAGTAAGTTGGTTTGACATATATGTACTTCAAATAGGTACAAGTTGCAAAAGATGAAATTGAAACAGACTTCCCAAATATTGGTAACTTCAATGCAAGAAACATTTTCTGATGTCTGACAGCAATAACTAAGACAGACAACTGACTGCCTTTAACAAAAGCCAATACATCATTTTATCTACTGTAAGTGGTTAAACTGGAACACCACAAAGCTCACATTTGAGGCAACAGCTTAGAATATAAAATATCTGCAGCTACTTTAGTAACCTGTATTTCCAAACAAGTTTGGAGTAGAAAGAAATATGAGAACACCAAGCCATCATTACAATTGTGTGCACAAAAGCAAAACAGTTATTGAATGCATAATTCCATAAACAACTTTTTACTGTCAAATTATAATTAGAAGAGACACTGAGCATACAGAAAAACAAACTGGTAAAGACTAGTATTGAGAAATAATTAAAGTTAACTGCATGGTGGTAAAAAACCCTTAAACTGTTTTTTAATTTGTAAACTGTGTGCTACAGCAACCTAATCAACCTTCAACATGCAACTTCTAGACTCCCAAGACAGACATGCTAAGTGCTATCCTCAGACTACCAATGGTAAAATATTCATGGACAAACAGAAAAAGGGAATGCAAGCTGAGAATCCCTCATTCTTAAGAGACACAACTGCCCAAACCTTATTTATTGACATATGTTGCTAAAACATCTACTAGACACTATTTATGAAAGTCAACAACATGAAACTAAAAAAAACTTAGAATATGTTTTATATTTTTGGCAAGTGGTCCTTCAAGCAAACACACCATCTTGTCACATTCTTGCACAGCAAAGTTTTCTAGTTCATAAGTGTAAATCTGACTCAATTATATAAGCAATTAAGCATCTACATTAAGTGAGGTCAAAATACTAAAAGTGATCCTTCAACAGTGAAAACACTAAAAACAGCCAGTCATTACAGTTACCCTCAACTGTAAGGTGAAAAAGAGACAGAGGAAAACTTTAGTTTTGCTGCTGTACAACCAGAACAAAACTCTGACCAAGGAGCATACAAAGTCTCAGCAAGCCTATCCTCTTCAGCTGGAAATGTGAAAAATCTGGCAACTTCATCCTCAATTAGAGGATTCAGCAAAAAAAAAATATTGGGGGAAGGAAAGCAGGTCACCACAAGATCAGACAAGCACCACAGCAAGTATGAGAATTAAGCCTATCCTAAAAGAAGTTATATCCCTGGTTTGTTCAAAAGGTAATCGAACTTCCAAAGAATGATTAATAAGCTAGCCAGAAAGTGATCTCTAGCTTGTCATGAAGCATTTTGCACTGTTTTTCAGGCCATCAAGATACAGACTGTCAAACTATCAGAGCAGAATCTGAATCCATCTGTCTTATGACTCATCAGCTGAGAGCAGGTGCCTAAGGAAGTTGACTCAGAGACCTCTTAAGTCAGAGATGGTGCCTTTATATTTACGAGTTCTCCACTAGATATTGTTTGCTAGTTTGTTCAGATTTTTGAAACCATAAGCTTTTAGCATCCTGCATCCTGTGCTATGGCATTTCACAGCTTAAATGAGCATCGTGCTTAATTTCAGCCATCTGATGATTCTTCAGCTCTTGAAGTAATTAATTTCTTGTCATTCTGCTCTCTGACTTTTCCATATACTGCTGATGACTACACAGACCTAGTTCATATACCTCATTTTCTTCTCCAGGTTAAAGAATCATTCATTCTTCACACAGAAGCAGTTCCATTTGTTTGACCACTCTCACCATCCTTCCCTATTCTTCCATTTGTATTATAACTTTCTTCTGATGTAGGAAGCAAAATTGTACTCACTGTTCATGATGGGGGATCTACATGGATTTTTACATGATGTTTTCATTTCTGCTCTTTATTCCTAATACTGTCTGAAATTTGGTTTGACACTCAATTCTCAGTAGGAAATCAAGAAAGCATTATCAAAGCAGTTTTCTGCAAAAACGTCAAGATCTCATCTTTGCAAGAAACTGTCAGCCCAGGGCCTGCCACTCTCTACAAAGTTTAAAGTATTTCTCTCCCTCCTGATGCAGTGCCTTGAAAGGTCCTTCTGCACCCCTTCTCAGTTGGCCCTTAGGGTTCTTAACACCACGAGCAAACTTCGCCACACTTCATCCATTGCCTTTCAGATGTTAGGCATCACAAAGCCCAGCACAACCTCCTGCAGGGCTTTCCTGGTGAACTCCACGTACTACAAAAAATGGAATCTTTGTTTCTCATCTTCTAACTAGTTCATTGTTTACAAAACGACACACATCTTTCACTTAGTTTCCTTTCAGAATCTTTGAGTAAAAGCAATTTACTTCATGTCTTTTGGAAATCCCAAGAGGCTGTATCAGACAGCTTTCTCTTGTCCACACACTTCTGGATATTCACATGCTCAGGACTCCCATAATCACTGAGAAATGGCATGTCTGTAAGCAGGTGATGGCTGAAGAGAGATCAGATAATCAAAAAGGAAAGCCCTTCATCTATGATAAAACAGACAAATCTTTGGTTTATATGTTTTTACTTCTTTACATCTATTTCTCAATAGAATAGTCTGCTTTCCCATCATAGGGCTATTGATTCAACAACTGAATGATAGAACTGGTTTGTTTTTTGTGGGGTTTTTTTTGGTTGGTTGGGGTTTTTTTGAGAAGTCTGTTGAATTTGATCCTCTGCAAATAAAAGCTGCTAGATCTGGAGGGAAAACTAAAAAAATGGCATTTGAGACAAGCTGGGGGGTGGGGGTGGAATTCTGTATCACAAACCAGGTTAAAAAAGTTTCCAGATATTTTAACAGAAATTTAAGAAAAGGATGTTCCTGGCCTTTACCCCAAACAACAGAAATCTGGTGGAAACTGAAATACCAAGTAATTATTTGCTAAGGAAACCAAACTTTTATTCTTAAATACTGGCAGTTAGTATACAAGACTGCTGACTTTCAAAGACTGTCATGATTCAAAAAGAAAATTTATAGCCAAAAATAAATCACCTACACTTTGAAATAACACAAGTAACATAGAGCTGAAGTCTAAACATAAACAAGGTTTCTTAGTTGTTTCGATGTTTGGTTTTTTTGACTGTTATCTTCTCTATAGTAAGCAGAAAAAAGCAGGGAAGTGTTAGCAATGAAAATGAAGTATCAGTACTCTTAACTTTAAAAGAAAAGAGATTATACATACAGTGCTCAAAAATAATTGGTAAGGACCTACAAAGCTGAAGAAAAAGTTTAGAAAAGGCATAGGACAGTTTAGAAAGAATAATTTTTGCAGAAGATATTTACTATTTTGTTGTTAAGACTACAGGATTAATGGCCATGATTGAATCTCATCTGCAGTTGATCGGAACTGTAATCAAGCTCGTACACTTCAAATTCATTCCATGTGAAATATTACAGAGAAGTATTCAGAAGAGCTTTAATGCATCGCTAACATTTTAAGTATCCCCTTAAATAATTTAATATACATCCTCAAAATACTTCACAAAGTTCTTTTCAATTTCTCACCATATTTCCAAATTCTCTATTTTAGGCTTGTAGCAAAAAAACCCCATAAAGAACCCTTTTTTAAAGGATTTATATTCACTTTCCCACTTTCTGAGCATAACAACATCTGGAAATATACTAAAAAATGCATCTTGCATGTAAGTAAAATTCAACTTCTTGTTCTTTATGAAATAAATCCACTGTTTTGCAGAGAAACAATGGGCAACGACCTAACCAACATTTTAGTCATTACTGCATGAGCAATAAATCAAGTATTAGGCAATAGGTTCAACCTAGCCTCATTACTTTAAATTAGCTAACAGGATTCTACAAGATATTTGCACCAGCTACTTGGGCATACTCTTAACCTGGTAAGATTTATAAGTGTTTTGGATTTCTAAGCTGAAGTATAGCAAAACCAAAATAAGTTCTTACTCAAGTCGTTTAGAACTGGCGATCTGGGGAAGTAAGGTCCAAACCACTGCAAACATCAAAGACACTTCCCTTCCTTTTGGGTCCCTTGTTTGGACCTACTGGCCACTTTCAGCTACAACTGCCAAGATCTTGAGTCCTGAACAGATTTTATAAAATGAGCCAAAACCCATTTCTGCTCCCATTAAAAGGAGAAAACAGCATTTATGCAACCAGCTGTGAGAGCAGCAAAGAAAAAAAAAATCAACATGGAGACTAGAAAGAGCTCAAAAGCAAGAAGAGTTTTAGATGTTTCTTATCTTCTAACACTAGAGGACTGAAATACTCAAAGCC